GTAAGGCAAGTCTGTAAGCCACACTACGAATCCTTTCAAGAATTTCGAAAGGTCCAATAAATCGTGGTTTCAACTTTCCATTCTTACCAAATCTCAATGCATTCTTCATTGGTGCTACTTTCAGAAAAACTTTATCACCAACTTGAAATTCTAAATCCTTTCTTCCACCATCAGCATAACTTTTATGTCAGTCTTGTACTGCTTTTATTCTTGCTTTAATGTTATCAACCGCCTTAACTATTTGTTCAATAATTTCAGGACCTAAAATTCTATTTTCTCTTACCTCATCCCAATGGATAGGGGATTTGCACTTCCTACCATAAAGAGCCTCATATGGGGCAATCTAACTGAAACAATGGTGACTGAAACTTCATGCAATCCGACTATCTCTCTAATATATAACTGTGTGAGCTGTTCCACTAATTAAAATAATACCCACAATGGACTGCACTCTCTATCAGATTTCTCATTAATGGACACGCCACTCTCTCTCTCTCTCTCTCTCTCTCTCCCCCTTGGCCTGCTTTCAATTCTCTGTTTCTCTCTTCACCTTTTTTTTTTCCTTCTCTCTGCTTCACACAGAGATATATATTTGTGCGGCTCCAAATTCTGAAATTTTCCTTCAATTGGTGGTGGACAACAACGTTCCAGTTTCTTCTACTTACGTCGGCAGCTATGGAATCTTCTAGGCGCAACAACGTTAATTGCAAACTCCATTGTTACTTCTTAATATCAATTTCTCACCATTTCAGGCGCCTCCTTTCTTCATTTCTTCCTGGCGGACGTCTCTCGGCAACTAACTTCCTGAAGCTCCTGGCGGATCCAGCACGGGCGGCCGCGGGGGCTGGCCATGTGCTGGATCCGCTCCTGATTGTATGAAACTGGATGATCAACTTGAAGCTTATATCTCTGATATGCTCTCGAGCAAAGATTTCGAAGAATTACGTGGCCTTAGTAATCTTTCAAAGAAGTTGAATGCAACTAAGAAAAATGAAGTGTATCCATTGGTTTACAAGCTTGTGAATTTGATATTAATTCTTCCCGTTGCTACTCCTACAGTTGAAAGAGTTTTGATTGCAACTAACATTGTGAAGGGTCGACTGCGCAAAAAAAAAAAAAATTGGAGATTAGTGGATGAATGACAACTTAGTTGTATATATTGAAAATGATGTATTCCAAAAAATAGATGATGATGTCATTATGCGTGGTTTCCGAAGCGTGAAAACCTGTTGGGAACAATGGTAAAATGTTGTGACATTTTTAATATTATTTTTTTATTGGCTTATTTACAAAATTTATATCTTGTCAAGTCTTTACCACACTGAACCGACTAATTGTCACCTAATATATATACTAGGTGCAAGCAACGTGCAATGCACGTTTGCGTAGTTTATATTTAATAATTTTGTTTAAGAATTAATTTGTTATTAATAAAGATGTAATTTTTTTGGTTAATTAAATAATTAATGATGTAATGTTTATGTAATTGATAAATAATTAGATGTGTGATTTTGATGTTGTGA